TCCCTGGACTTCCACTGTCTGTGAGAAGAATCATACTTTGTGTCATTGTCACCTGGAGAAATTGGGGCCCCACCTTTCTAGAAAGTTCTTTGGGGTATGCAACTGTGCTTATTGATAACTAGCAACAGTTAGCCTTAAAAAGTACAGCTCAAAACCTGTTCAACAGGCTGCTATAATATTTACAACTGGTACTTCAGCACAGCTCCATATTTTTACAACCTACAGAAGAATCTGTAAACATGTTCTAATTGACCCACTTGGCTGTGATTGGTCAGATTGGAAGGGATCCACATATCCCATAGCTCACCTGCTGCCCAGTATGGAGCCCCCCTGTTTGTGAGATCCTTTGGGCTTAACGAGATAAGATAATGGAAGAGAATTGAATTTCAGTAGGTTTCATTCTTAGATGGGCAGGTGGGAGGGCACTGGTTGGTTTTGCAATATGAAGAGCAGCAGTAGGAGAAGCTTAATTTCCCCCCTTGCCATTTCCCCCTCTTCATTTGACCCCATGGAGCTGCTGTTCGCACCACAAGGGAATCACACGCACCATCTGTTTTTCTTAGTTTCTAATACCCATGAGGCATGCCCAAATCCTGCTTGATACAGATCTCTTCCCCATACTGAGTTAGGAATAGAAACCCCACAAAGCTGTGTAATTGAAGAGACCTGTCGTTTCGTTCCACTTACTTGTCTAACAGAACTGCTTCCCCACTGCTTCTTGAACACTAATGAATTTTTATTTCTGTTGCAGACGTAGAAAAGGAGCATTAACATACTATATATAACAGCACAGTCTGTTAGAAAGCTCTATTTTGGTGCTATCTTATTCTCTCATTTCCTGCTAATACTACCTAAACCTGTTTTTTCTTTTCTCAATTTATCTTGGACACAGTAAATCTGTGATGACTGTTGATAGCTTACCAGATGCTGTGAATGGGAGTAGCTGCTGTGTACCTTGTGTTGACATAGCTATAGTAGACCAACTAGGTCTTTAATGCTGATTGTTACATTCATTTTCATTATTACCACCACATATTGGGTACAAAAGCTTGTCAACATCACTGACTCCATGATGGCCACCAGATATGTCTAGAAGAGCACATAGATGGTATGTCCTCACCACATTCCACAACACCATTCCCTGCCCAGTTTTGTATATATCTGGAAATTTCACAACAATGTTGCTGACTTCACAGATGACACACTAAGGAGGCTGGCAACTGCATTTTTGGTAGAAAATGCCATCGAGCTGCAGCCAGCTCATGGCGACCCCAAAGGGTTTTCAAGGCAAGAGAAAAACAAAGGAGGTTTGCCATTGCCTGTCTCTACGTAGCAACCCTGGTGGTCATCCATCCAAGTACTAACCAAAGGCAATCCTGTTTAGGTTCTGAGATGGCGAGACTGGGCTAGCTTGGGCCATCCAGATCAGGGCGGGAACTAGATTATCCTAGCACAATGATGCTAACTAGGCTTTGGAACCTGTTGAAGCCAGTAGTTCTAGTCTGGATCACAACACTGCCACAGTGTTCCAGATGACTGCACAGTACCTAGCAGTCCTTAACACATATTTGCACCATGCTGTGATTTTATTATAAGAGGCAGAGAATAGTTGTCATTGTGAACGTTGTGGGAACAGAACATGGAACAATTTCTAGCACAAGGGATTCTATTAATTCCCCCCGACCAGAGTTTACAAAATGCATAGCTCTACAATCATATATATAACAGTACAACTGCCTGCTGAGTGGAACATGGCAAATTAGAGTCATGGTGATGATACCCTGAGGCAGGTAGGAAGTTGCCACACAGGATGGTGCTAGCCTAGATTATTTTCTAGCATATACATTTTAACCCTACTGCCTAACTGTATTTATTAATTACATTTTCATCTCATCCTATCTCAAAGGAGCTCAGATGGGGTAGACTGGAAGTAACAAATGGCCCACCTACCTGAGCCAAAGCACAACCAGGGCACACTCACACGGAATGGGCAGAAACAGCTCATGAGGAAAGAAGCCAGTGAGAGCTTTCCTCCAACACCCAGGACTTCCTAGTCACATGGTAGGAGTGGAAATGGCCAAGAGGGCGAGGCATCTCACTGCCTATTTAAGAAAACCCAGAAATGAACCAAGGGGACTGTAGCTGATCTTGCTCAGAATGCAGGAAACAGAGGTCTGTCAGGCCCTCCTCCTCTGTATGTTGTACAAAAGTCAGTAGGGTGCTGCCATAAAACACTTATGCTGTAATCCTAAAAACACTTTCCTGGGAATAAGCACCATTGATTGAGACTTACTTCTGAGTAGACCAGCTTAGTCTTGCTCCCTTTTTTCAAGCACATTTGAGCAGTTTAAAACACTGCTTTTTACTGAGTGGTTACACCCCTTCCAAATATAGTATCGGGGAAATGACAGAACGAATATGTTAGGAAATAAATTCAGGGCTGACATAAGTCTATCCCAGTTACAGGGGCCCAGGGCTTCTGGCAGGGTCCGCTGCTGCTGCTTCCTGCCTGTGCCCACCCTTCCTCCCATGAACCCACCTGCCACTGATGCTCACAGCTGCATGCAGTACCCAGCACCACTAGGGAAAAGTTATTCGAGTGCGGGTGGTGTGAGGAATCACCGGTGAGCTGATGGAGCAGGGGCCTGGGAACTCTCTGCCCAGCCCCTGTTCGAAATCTGGAACCAGCCCTGATTTACTTAATATATATTTGGATATCAGAAAATTCAGTGGTTTTACAGAAACACAATTCAAAGGAAAAAAATGATTTTAGATGATACACATGGGTTGTAGCAGGCATCATAGAGAGCAAGCGTGATTTAGTGTTTGAACTGTTGGACTAGGCCTGGGGAAGCACCAGTTCAAACCCACACTTGTAATGAGGCTTACTGGAATACTCTGGGCCAGTCACTTAGGCTCCCCTGACTCATGTGGTGGTTGTAAGCACAAAATAGAGGAGCAGCATTGAAAAGTACGCAGATGGAGAGTGATAGGACTCTGGGCCAGTCACTTAGGCTCCCCTCACTCATGTGGTGGTTGTAAGCACAAAATACAGGAGCAGCATTGAAAAGTACGCAGACGGAGAGTTATTTCAGCAAAGCGTACTTTATTCAATCAGGAACAAGACAACTTTGGCTGGCTCGCAGGCCGGTTTATATTCCCTCAGAACCCACCACCCAAAACACACCCCCCACTTCCCGATAGGTTATTTACAGTGGCCCAGAGTCCCATTGGCTTCTTGGCCAGGAACCTAGCCCTCTGATTGGGGCGGGCTAGGATCCACCTGGTCCATTGTCTCTAGGAGCGAAGCTTGAGGTTTGTCTCTGGACAAGTCTGGACATGTCAGGACTGGATGCACTACAAGCATGGTGCCCAGAGACTCATGTTAGGACCCAGTCCCATTTTCAAATCCCCATTTTCAAATCCACCAGCAAGGGATCCAGGTTGGGGAACTCCTGGAGATTTGGGAATGGAGCGTGGGGAGGACAGGGACTTCAGTGGGTTACAATGCCATCCAGTCCCCCCTTCAAAGCATCCAACAGATGCCTGTACTGTGGAGATGAGCTGTCTTTCCAGGGGGTCCCCAGGTACCACCTGGAGGCTGGTATCCCTATGTGGCCGTTAGGCTGGTCACTGCCTCTCAGACTAACCTACTTAACAGGGGTTGTCGTGAGGATAAAATGAGGAGAAGAGTTATGAATACCACCCCCAAATCATTAGAGGAAAAGCAGGATATAAAATGTAATATCATAATCACCAGTGGGAAAATAATGTTGAAATCTACCTCCAAATTATGAGAGGCATCTTTGTAGTCGCGCTTAATCAATTAATCCACTCAACACGGCAGCCGGGCCACAAGGAAACCAGAGAACAGGCAGACCCCCCCCCCCTTTTTGCAGAGCAAAGTTCTTTCGGAAAATGTGCAGGCGCGTCATCCTCCTCACCGCCAAGTCACTGTAAGCTTTCTCGCGCTTCTGCGACTCGGGCAGAGAGCGTCTAGGCATGCCGTGAGCCCCGGGACCTTTCCGAAATCAGCCCCTCCGCCCGCCCTTTTCCTTTGCGGCGACTTTCTTCGAGCTCCTGTCCTGCCTCGAACTCCGCAACGGCGGACACGGCGTCTCGCTCCCCCCCACCCGTGGCAATTAGCAGCGGCTCCAGCAGCCTCGCGAAGACCTGGCATGAGCGCGCCGCGGCCGTCGGGGGGCTTTGCATATATTATGCAAATAGGGCAGGCCGGGCCCTCCCGCTAGGGGCCGGCTGGGCGTCCGCCCCGCGCGCTAGGTGAATACATTATGCTAATAAGGCTGCCGAGGTTGCTGGCAGGCGCTGGCAGGCGGCGTGCGCTCCGTACAGTCCAGAGAAGAGCGCGGGAGTGGGAGGCTCCGGAGGAGTCGCCGCCGGTTGCTGCTACTGTTCCTGACAGCCGCTACTGAGGGCGCCTACGCAGGCAGGGGGCTGCAAACGCGCTCCGCGGGAAGGAGACAGAGCCGCCACTGCTGCCTCCGACGCTGGGGTCCCTCGCCCTTGTTTGGGGGGCTGCCGCTTAAGTCACCCGAGCGACGCTGGGTTGGCGTTGTCTTTTTGGTTTTTTGGTTTTTTTAAAGCCGGGGAGGGCGCGCCGAGAAGCGCCAAGCAACAAGTCCGCCTGCTGCTCCGTCGAGGGAGGTGTGGGGGGAGAGCCCGAGTCTTTCCTCCGAACACCTGGGGGAAGGTTGGCGAGCGCCGCTCTTTGGGATCTTCCTCACGGTTCTCTGACCCTTCTTCCGCGCCGGCTTGGATGGCTGCTTCGGGGGTCCTTGCATTACCGCCTTTGGTCCAGGTCACCTTTGCGCATTGAAAAAAAGAGAGAGAGAAAGAGGTGCATTTGGTTTGGGGGCTGCTGCTTTGTTTTGTTTTTCGCTTGGTGGGAAAGGGATCCTCTCTTGGCTAACTTGCCCCTTCACGCCGGAGGAGAGGGAGGAAACTTAACTGCGGTCGCCCCCGCCCGCCCCAGCAAAAGCATGGTGGGGAAAACAAGCCAGGAAGCCAAGGGTCAGGATGCCAAGAGCGAGACCAGCTGCTTTGGAGGTCAGCGCTGCTGTTGGGGCAGGACTGCGCCCTCCAGCTGGCTGCTGGCTGCCTTCCTCCTCTCCGTGGTATCCATCGCTTCCTGTGTGTATCTGGGGATGAAGACCAGTGACCTTCAGGCCAGGGTCTTGGCCATTGAGACCGCCCAAGGGGACTTGTCTGCTGCTTCTTACCAGCTGCTGCCCAGCTATTCCTTGGATCAGCTGAATTCCTGGATGCAGGAAAAAGTGGAGCGACTTCTGGCTCAGGTGTGGTGGCCTGGGGAATGGAGGGGTGGATGAGGGCATCCCAGGGAAAGGTGGTAGTGAGTTTGCCCACAAAGGTTGCTTGTTTACTGACGGGACTGGTTCTAAACCGCTGGCTACATCTTAGCCAGAAGGTCTGTGTGTTTACCAATGGGACCGGTATATTTACTCCCTAGATTGCACTAAATAAAAGTGTGAGAAATATGTGGGAGTGTGTTGTCTATGAGTCCAGAGAGAAAAACCCAGGTGAATATAGGATGGAATGTGGGAAAGGGATGGAGATTGCTAGGCCGTCTGTGCTGGAAAGTATCCCTTAATTTAATTTAGCCTCTTTGGGGAACTGATTCTCTGGGTCTGCTAGGACTTAGCCCTAGGACCAGTTTTGAATTTCAGGGTTGGTAAGGTAACATAGATGAAGAGACTGTCTCTGAAAATGCACAGATCCCCCCCCCCCAGCCCCAGTTTTCTTCCTGTCTACCAGGCACATGAGTATTAGAAGGAAGGGTACCAAATCAAATAGTGTGCTGGCTGAGCAGATTTAAGTTTTGGGACCTTTTGTTTTAGAAATGAAGTTCAGGTTGCTAGTTGCTAGAGTAAACTCTTAAAAATCACAGTCACTGTAGTGGAGTGCTCTGAAGCTAAAGGAAATAAGGGACATCTGTTGTGTTCTGTGGGCACAGAGTAAAGAGACAGACTTCTAAAATAAGGCATAACCCTTGGAAAAAAAGACATCTGGCAACCTTACCAAGACTACTTTACATGTGTTTAAAAACGATGTCATTCCTACTGAACAAGAGAAATCCCTTTTACTTCATGGTGAGGGTCATGGCTCCTAAATGCTTTGCTGAGATCCTTGAGAACATAAAAAGAATATTTCAAACCTGAGGCTCAGACAAGAAGCCTATGCAGATATTTGGCTGTAAAGTGTGGTTCCAAATTTCAGTGTGCTGCCAGGACCAGTCCCCCAGAGACTATTTGGCAGCCGCCAGACCTCAGTTGGCAGCAGTTACTCCTATAATGTGGTAGCATTTGACCTTCATCTATAAAATATTCATTGCTCTCTCATCTCTAATTTACAGATAGGCACCCAAGTCCAACTTCTCTGCCTTTGTTTTGCACCTCACAGATGCTGTGGGAAGGGTGGGTGACTGTGCTCCTGTGAAGAGGAAACATATTGTTGCTGTGCAGGGGAATGCCTTCATGTGTGTGTGTGTTACCATGTAACCCATTAGTTATTGTCAGAGCGAGTAAGTGATTCCACTTGATTGAAATCTAAGTGATGAAGCTATTATAAGTTAAGCAGGTTATAAAATAACAATATATCTTGATTTAACATGAACATGGAGAACATTTTACACAGTCCAGCTTCTTCTGCCAAGGTCTGAACCTCTACCTAATGTTTCCCCCCCCACCATCATTTCTCTTTTCATACAGAAGTCCTATGAGCATATGGCAAAAATCAGAATAGCGAGAGAAGTTCCTTCCGAATGCAACTGTCCACCAGGTAAACAGGAGCAATGTGGAATTATTTCATTTTGGCACAGTTTTATCTACTGCCTCTGAGATATACATTCAGTATTAGCTGATATTTATTTAACAGTTTAACGTTCTTTTGATAAATTGATTAAACTAAAATGTAGAAAGTTTGCTTATATCTTCTGTGAGGTTTTAATTGACAGAGAAGAAAAATGTTGATTAGCATATGGGAGCAACCCTAAATTGACTACATAAAAGAGGGTTTTATATAAATAGGTGGGATTCTTCTTTCACATAAGGCGTGAATTGAATTAAATGGGGTTTATTCCCTAAAAGTAAATTTAAGGTCACAAATTAAAGCCAAAATGATATGAGCAATCATTTGGGAGTAAAATCCCACTGAACTTGATGGAATTTATTATAGAGATGTGCAGGTTCAGACTGTAATGCAGCAGTCTTAAATTTAAATTTGTGAGTAAATCCCGTTGAGCTCAGTGGGACTTACTTCTGAGCAAAACGTGCATATGTTGGGCCTGCCCATCTATGTATTTCAAAACAAGTTTTATTCAGAGCAGAAGAATTCACATCCAAACAAATGTGTTTTAAGACTGAAGTGTCAGATGGGTAAACGCATGCGTATCATGGTGCAAGCAGCCCAGAGACATTTGCATTTAACTAGAAGCAATGTACATTGCAATGTTATATGGTACAGGATCACATCTGTGGCTCGTTTCTAGTGCTGTTTAGTTCTTCTGAAGTGCAATATGCTAAGTACATCAAACAGCTCAAAAAGCAGACCCCCAAATAATTTTAGTGTTCGGTTTCAGTTTGCATTAAAGTATGCATAAACTTTTTGGTTACTGTTTCCTTCATCGCTATAAAGAAATATGTTACAAACTGACTGCATGTCTCATGCTGTATATTATAAGCAATATGAGCTCAGCACTGAAATTCATTAACTGTAGTGGAAATACTTTATAAGCAAACCTTAAAATGTTGGTTCTGTGAAAATTGGGAGAACAAGAAATTTGTTAAACTCTGATTTGGGGAGGGAGTGAATCTTGTGCAGCTTAGGTAATATCATTCACATGTTTCCACTGATTTTAGAAGTTATGGAATAAAGGTAATGATGTTCTGCTTCAAGTTTGCTGATGGTGGAGTGCATTATATGATAAGATACTGTTGTGTAGGCTTAATAAGCACCTTGACAAAATGACACAATGAATGTATAGTTACTGCAGTATGGAACATGAGGTAACTGTGATGTAGCTATTGAATACTCAAGAGCTTTGAAGCGCAAATATTTGGTCAGGCATTGAACAGGATTACAAGCATTGGAACCATTAAGCATAGAAGAAGACTGAACCTAAGAATCGAAGGTCATTTCACACATTAAGCAGAATCAAATCTACATCACAGCATCTTGATAAGTACATGTGTATGATGCATATCTTTACAGCTATGTTGGTCACATTAATACTTCATATTTTAAGGCATCCACTTAAAACATCTTAGGTTTGTATATATTGAAAAGTGTAATGTTCTGTGGCCCTGATGCCTTACACTGGCCTGGGTCACACGGGCAGGAAAATGCGGGGGGGGGGGGGAGCGTGGCTGTTTGCCCTGGGGCAAAATAACGTGCGGTTGCGCCAGCAGACGTACCGTGGAGGTCCCGTGGTAGGGGGGAGGTGCTGAGCACACCACAATCCTGCGCCGCGGCAAAGAAGCGGCACGGCAAATGGGTGGTTTTTTTCGGACACCAAAGTGTGCGCATGCCCCGTTGGGTGTTTGTGTGCATCCCATTGACAGTTGGAAAAAAAAAAACTTTATACGAGGGGGCATGGGCGGGCGCCGGAACTACCTCCGGAAACGCGATCAGATGCCCACCCTTGCCCTGTGGTTACCGGAAACAAGTAACTCTGAGGTACTAGTTTTTAACCGCGCATCTTCGGCGGGAAGCCTCGGGTTCGCCACGGGAACGCTACGCTTCCCAGATGTGGCGGTGAGATCGTGCCCAGAAAATCCGCCTATCTTCCGTCTCTCTAGCGTGCCTAATGCTCCGTGTGACCGCAGCCACTGATAGTTAAACTCATTATGTTTGGTTACTATTAAGAAGAATTAAAATTAAGCAAGAGATACAAAAGTTTTGTAACTCTCTTTGCCCTACATTACAAACCCCCCCAGACCAAATGAAGTTACACCATTTACTGGCCCAACTAATGTTCCAGATTCTGGAAGTGGAGTTGATTATTGCTTAGGGTTGCCAGCCTCCAGGTAGGACCAAGAGATCTCCTGAAACTACAACTGATCTTCAAACAACAGAAATCAGTTCACCTAGAGAAAATGGCTGCTTAGGAGGGTGGAGTCTATGGCAGTATACCCCACTGAGGTCCCTCCCCTCCCCTGGCTTTCTCCTCAGATCCCCAGGAGTTTCCCGTCTTGACATTGGGAGCTTTATATAATTGCTTAAGGGCCCATATCTCAAGAAGCATTCTCAGTAACCCAAAAACTCAAACTTCTGTAAGAGCAGAGCTAATATGACAGAAAATACTTCTTCTAGTTGGGATGTGCAGATGTTCTATTTAACTAACATTTGCATAGAACAGATACTTTGAATAAAGTTTAGGCTGTAATATGAAAGATCCCAATTATCCCTCGGTGACATGATCCCACAGGCAGATTAGACTGTAGCACTGGTACTTTTCACTAGTAGTATTCTCTATTAATGTTTATTGCTGAAACAAATGGTAATGACTGTAGCTGCTGAGTTTCCCAGTCCCCTCCCAGGCTTAGCTTCTTTCCATGACTGCTTTTGCTGTTTTTCTTCTATACTACCACTAGAGCTCCACATTACCTCAAATATTACCTGCTTTTTCCTTTTTTGGGCTTGCTTTCTTGCATTATATTGAATCGAATGGATTACAGACATGGAAGGCATATGTCTAAATGATGGATAAAAAGCACATGTTTCATGGATCCAAAGCTTTCAAAATTAGGGTAGATATATATGGATAGAATGTTAAAATGTTTTATAAGGAAGAATTAAATTGTCAACGGATGAGAAATGAGGTAGAGTGCTCCTAGTATTTTGATCAATATCCCATTCTGAAAACAGCTTAACTGTAACTAAAAGTCAAATTGTTGTATGACTGCTGCATTTTGAAATGACTGCATTAGTTCCAACTAAATGATAGTGATGTGTGACCCTTCACAAGGGTACGTACAGGTCTGGGAGTTCTCAAAAAACCCCAAATTTGGCTAATGTGCTCTTATTTTAGCTTAACCCTCATCACAGGCATAATTCAGTCCAAACTGTTTTCTTCTAGAAGGACAAGTAATAAAATAATTAACAAGTGGGATCTTGACTGGGTGAGGACTCCTGGAAATAGGCTTGGTACACCCCGTATGAAAAATGGAGCCATCCCTCAGTCAGAATGCGAGTTGTACTCTGCGTTTACAGTGTTTACACACATCCATCAATACCCACCTGAGCTTCACTGCATCAAAGGGCAGTAGAATCTCACATTGGACCAGAATGCCCACAGGCTTGGTGTATTTAGAATTAATTTCATGCCATATGAAAGCTCCAAAATTTTCAGCTATTGCCAACTGTGAATGAGCTAGAATTAAATTATTTACATTTCTGTGAACACAACTTTTTCCAGTGATTTTTCTGTTTTTTAAAAATGTGCTTGTACTTATATATTAGGTTGCACCAATTCCCACCATTTCCCCCACTTCCTCTGCAGATTCCCACCAGGCTGTTCCTGTGGGTCTATTCTCTGTTTATGTGGCTGAGTGGAGTGGGCTGGCATGTGAGGATTAGGACTTGGGAGGAGGAGGAGGAGATTGGATTTGTACCCTGCCCTTCACTACCCAAAGGTGTCTCAGAGCGGCTTACAAACTCCTTTCCCTTCCCCTCCCCACAACGGACACCCTGTGAGGTAGGTGGGGCTGAGAGAGCTCTTGACAGAAACTGCTCTTTTACAAGAACAGCTCTTATCAGAACTACGGCTTGCCCAAGGTCATCCAGCCAGGTGCAAGTGGAGGAGTGGGGAATCAAACCCGGTTCTCCCAGATTAGAGTCCGCGCACTTAACCACTATAACAAACTGGCTCTCGACTCACTACACTACTCCTCCAGGTGCTGATCATCAGTGCTGAGTATTGCTTCAATCTGCACACGCACACACAAAACCACCCTAAGTATATAGGAACGGAACTCTTTGGGCTGCTGTGGTTCAATGCCTCTAATCATTTTGATTCATAAGTGCAAGCAGTGTCTTCAACTTAAAGCTTTACTTCAGGGTTCCACAGTAACTGTATAGCATAAAATACATGAATGAAGAATGTGATCAGTTCTGAATTATTTGAATGAATTTTACAGTAGGGTTTAGAATGCAAGTACTGTTAAATAAGGCCATCTACCACATGGCCATGGACATTCTTCTGGTACTTTATGAACCCTTTAAAATTTTGAGTTTTATAGTCTCCTTGACAAATAAGTCTTTTGGGAGGGTGGGAAACAGAACCAGTCCCTAAAGACTGAAGTGTTGCAAGTACAGTGAACCTTACTAATTTGTGAGCTTCACCCCTACCTGTTCTCTGTGGCAGGAACCTCTGTGGTCAAACACAATGAGGAACAAATTGGCTTATATCATAATACAATATAACATGGATACAAAATGGACCAGAAAAGAATTGTTCCAAAGTGAAACCACTAGGCACAGAATAAAAGTATAAACGAGGCCTCCAAAGATGCAATCACATGCCAAATGATATTTCACTGATAATAATTTCTGGTCCAGAAAATGCCTTCCAATGATTGTTTAATTCAACCCATGCGTCCTCAGCAAAATTGTCCCATGAAGAAGGCCTATACAGGCCAAAATGCATCAGGTCAAGTCCATTGACCCTTGTGTGTAAGATTTTGGGTTTTTTATATGAGGTGTGATTGAGCCCTTATATGTTTTTAATTCTTTGGTAATAAATACATGTATTTTTATTGTATACATTAAGTTTTTATTGT